GACATCTCCAAAGCATTTGATCGGGTATGGCACAAGTCTTTGCTTTTTAAACTTCCCTCTGTTCTCAAATCTCTAGTTTCCTTAAGAACCGAACCATGGCAGTTGTTGTTGAGGGATCGGCCTCTCACTCTTTCTCTACCAATAGTGGTGTCCCACAGGGTTCTGTTCTTTCACCTACTCTCTTCCTTCTTTTTATCAATGATTTACTTCACATTACAACTAATTCTATCCATTCTTACGCTGATGATTCTACTCATCACTCTTCTTCACATTTTCCTCTTTCCCTAATTCTCAAAATCTGTTTCTAGAGCTGATATCATTACATCTATCAATGCGGATGCGTACAGCATCTCCGAATGGGGATGTAGAAACTTGGTTAAATTCAATAGATGATCTCCCACCAATCACATTTCAGGACGATATCATTCTTCCAAATTCTGAAATAGATATGCTAGGCCTCACCATTTCCTCTAATATGTCATGGAAGCCACACATCCTTAACACTGCTAAAGCTGCTTTTCGAAAGCTGGGAATGCTGTGCAGATGCCATAGCTACTTTACTCCTGAGCAGTTGCTTCAAGTATATAAGGGATTCATTCGTCCTAACTTGGAGTACTGCTTGTAGACAGTATGCAGTAGGCAGCTACCAAACAGGGAGGTGTTACCGCCTGGGAAGATATTGGAAGCATAATGTGTTGTCTAATGGTAGACCCTGCTGCTATAAGGCATCACGAAAATTGTAACCAAGTCCCAGGTTGCTGATCTATCTTTCTGCCTCATTTACACACAATTGCAGGGTCTCAACTGTCTCTCTTACTATTGACAACACCACAAATAAAACCGTACTCATTCTTGATCCGTTTTATTCATTCTATTTTATTCTCCTATGTCAGTTGAAATTAACACTGCAGCCGGGCTTTCTCGGATGGGTCCCACTTGTCGGGAAGGTTGTGGACCCCAGAGCCGACCTGATCATTATCAAGCTACTGGGGCCTCAACTAATTTGGGAATGAAATTGACGCTGATAGCGTCTTCCAGAGGGTGGAGGAGGGGTCCGATATCAGGGATAGTGCGCATCAGGTAGTTCCAGCGATGCTTGACTCCATGGGTGAATGCCGCAAAAGCCGCATGTGTGTCTGTGTTAGAAATCTCACACAGAGCTTGGATTTCCCTAACCCACTCATTCATCTTTCCCATTACGTACTCGGTCTTGAAGTCCGTCGTGCCAATTACTGCGCCTAGGTGTCTTTGGCCATCCTTTGTTATTTTGACCTCACTTCCACCGAACACCTCCGTTGCCCGTTCATAATATTCTGGCTTCACAATGAGTAAAGACTTGCTGGCGTTTGGATGGTACCCTCTTTGTGGCCTGGTGATGTTACCAAGTCCCAACACTTTTTAATGTCCTCCACTTTTCCTGCTCCTGTAAGGTCATCGGCGTACGCCACTTGCTTGACCTCAGTTGTTTCAAATTTTATTGTGTGTTGGAGCACGGATAGGCCTATTGCGTACATTGCCATTGCAACAGGGTCCCCCTGCGTTGTTCCCTCTTTTGACTGTATGATGGTATCCTCTCTTAGAGCCTTGTTGCTTACTATATAAAGGTCTGATTCCTATAGGAGTTTTCAACATACATTGCAAAGCTTGGACACTTGATGATGATGTTGTGCAGTGCGGCCTTGCGGTTAAGTACGTTGAATGCGTTTGAAGCTTCCACCAGGAGAAAAGCCTCACAAGTGCGCTGCTCAAATATCGTTCTCATGGCGTGAATGGTAGCTTTCCCACCAGCTTGCTGGACAGCACAAACTTGCAGGTTCCCTGCTGCTGCCCTGACATCATCCTTTACCACCTCCATTATGCATTTTCCGATGATCCGCAGCAGCACTTCCCCCACTCCTATTGGCCCACATCCTGGATTCTTATCCAGGGGAATGAGGCGGCAGGCTGTCAGAGCATGGAGGTGTTGGCAGCACGAGCATGCTAGCTTTCTTGCAAGGACGGCAATGGCCAATGGCCATGCAGAGATCACTTGCTACGGGGCCAAACTTGTTAGTGCTGACGATGACTCTCCAACCGTTTGCATCCAGACCTGAAGGGCCTTTGCCTCCCTGAGTCTTCAGTGCCTTTATCCACACCATCCCTCCTATTATTTTCTCGAACAGGACAGCATTTGGTGAGATATAGGCACCCTGGAACCTGTTGCCTTCATTTTCACTTGCAGAGGGATGTTTTTATTTCAGTTGTTTTAATGTCTCTCTGTTTATTGGCAGAACCCCACCGGAGGATTCCACTGTGAGAGATCTTACTGCCAAAGACACTTTTCCCACACGCATTTTGTTTCCAAACTTTCTTGCAGCATCATCGGTGTTTTGCTTTCCGTTTCCTGCAGATTTTAGTCTCTCCTGCAGTGTTCTTGCTTCACATGGGAGATCATCAAGGGCCCCATTCTGCCACATTGTCAATCTTCTTTTCATTGCTGCCACATTTTCTTTGCGCTTAGTCTTTGTGTGTGTCCTCTGACAGAATAGATGTGGTATTATCGCCAGTATTTGAAGCGCTAAAGGGGCAAGGAAATAGTCCTGAGTGTACTCAGTTATGAGGCGAATCATCTCCCGAATCATTTCTTTGGTGGCCGCATACTTGGGTGGTTCAAACAGGTTAGCTGGCGACCACCTGACAATTTCTGAGTAAGTTTCTTTAACCCATATGTCCGCCTTTTACATCGACATGCCATTCCACTGTTGTGGCTTTCTCTCGTTCACCTCGTGGACATCTGCTACTACTGGAGCAGCGTTTATTAGTACTACATTTTCAGGTTGAGTAGACTCACTGCTATCATTTAGGATATCATCGGGCTCTTGGGTCTCTGAGGTATCCACTGTGGCCTCCTGTGTCGGCTCCCTGCCTTGTGGGTTTCGACAATTGTTTCCCTTTCTGCAAACCATACATGGTCGGTTGTTTCTCGCACACTCACAGCTAGTGGAATTTTTCTACTAGCTAGCACAAACACAGCAATGTCTGTTACCCGGCATAGTGTTCTGCACCTTGGGCGACAGTTATATCCGCCTCCGACATCTGCTTTGGTCCCATACAGAAGAGGAATCTAGTTCTTATGAGTAAAGGGCAGAAAGGTGACAGGCTGGACTGCTGTGTCCGGATAGTAGGGGCATACGTGCGCGCGCGCGCGCGCGCGTGTGTGTGTGTGTGTGTGTGTGTGTGTGTGTGTGTGTGTGTGTGTGTGTAGACCACCCCCCTGTGGACGACAATCCACACATCAAAATAATACACTGGGAGCGAGAATTGTCACACCTAACACTTGTTTATATATCCTTGGCAGAAATAACCACTATTTCTATGGTCGCACTGATGTAATATTAGTTATATATACTCACTACAGGCAGTGACCGTTACTTGGGGGTGGGGCGACCGCAAGCTTAGGGCACTTGGTCCCAAAAGGGCGAGAGTCTCCATGCCACCCCTGCCAAAGTAGGCCTATCGACACTGGTACTGGCACCTGCAGTAGCCGACCATCCAAATACTCACAAAATCGCTTGGTGATCGCCGGTGAACACACGGATTATTTGCGATTAATGCCGTAAGGGATGAGAAGAACCTTCATTGACAATGCTTAGGAAAAGATCCGATATTCACCGACACACTGTGAAATTCCTGATCCCACACTCTGAATATGTCCCCTCCAATAACCCTTTAGATCAGGGACGACACTCCACCACACCCACACCGAGCAGGCCCCTACTACTACTACTACTACTATTTTTTTTTTTTTTTTTTTTTTTAAATGAAATAGGCCTCCAGCCTCCCCCAATAGCCACACCTTCGCCACCATTTATTTACCTTAATATTAAATATCCTAATACATAATAAGCTATCCTATCTGTGTTAAATTAGTTGAGCCGCAGATCTATGCGGCATTCAGTGACTGTAGCCTCATAGTCAATATCTGCAGCAGTTGTCGGAGTAGGGGCAGAAGCTCTCGTTCCCCTGAGGCAGAGCAAAGCCGACCGAAGGAGAGAGAAGGACAGTCGACATCTCATCCAGGCTGTAACATAACTTCTGGGCTGCTGCTTCTGTTCGGAGATCAACTCCGCGAGTCTGGCGTAGAAACATCTTGCACTTGGGCCCATCCCACCAGAGGTTGTGAACACTAGAGGAGTGAAGCTGCCTTGATCAACGTTTTGAATTCTCTCCCCATATGCCCTTCTCTTGTCGTTTTCGTTCCTCCTATGTGCAGCATCGAGAGCTAGGTTACGGTGACATGCGGCCATGGGATCAAAAATCCTGATGTCGAAGAAAGCTCGCTGTCCCCGCGTCCAGAATCCTCGAGCACTGACGTCCACACGGGTTTCGTTAGATGTGTTTGAAGTCCTGTGTTGGAAGATCTCGCCATCCAGTGGAAGGAGGGTCGGTTCTACCATGACGTCCCGGCAGATTTCCTTCAACATATTTGCTGTGAGATCCCTTACCTCGTCATGCCTCATGCATATGAAGCCCCCCTTCTTGCAGACCATGGCGTGATCACCATCATAGGAAGAGCCACACACGCATTGGGAGGGCAAACCATCTACTGGCCAACCGTACCTTAGAGCAATGGCATCTGTAAATTCTTGTTTGTTAAGGCTGAAACCATTTGCCCTTATCGGTAACGTAGTTAACCAGTTCGAGGCGCCCACCTCCTGCGCTATAGCTACTTTTTTTGTCAAATTTTCTGGAACCTGCAGCAATAGTTGCTGCAACATGTCATTTACTACTACTACTACTACTACTACTACTACTACTACTACTACTACTACTACTACTACTAATAATAATAATAATAATGATAATAATAATAATAATAATAATAATAATATTTCCTTTAACACCATATCATTATAATTCGACATTCCAACATATTATTTCGACAGACTTGCAGATATTACACTGACAGATCACCAAAATATAGTCATATTAAACTATCCAGGACAATGAGACACATAATATCAACAGTGTCATATGTTTAATCCAACTCAGACAGATGACAGAGTAACATCAAGTTGAAGGACTTGGTACATGTATATGAAATACCAATGTATGTTTCACCAGAGACTATGCCTTATACAATACATAGATAATATACTGTTGAAAATAAACTGAAAAATTGTGCGAGTAAAATATAAAAGGGGTGGTACTACTACTACTACTTTTTTTTCAAACGTGGCCTCCAGCCTCCCCCAATAGCCACATCTTCGCCGCCATTTTATTACTCTAAAATTAACAATCCTAATACATAAGTAGCTACCCTAGCTGTGTTGAATTAGTTGAATCGCAGATCTATGCGGCATTCAGTGACTGTTGCCTCAAAGTCGATATCTGCAACTGTTGTCGGCTTCGGGGCCGATGCTCTCGTTCCCTGAAGCAGAGCAATGCACACCTAAGCAGAGAGAAGGACGGTCGACATCTACTACTACTACTACTAATAATAATAATGATAGTAATAACACGCAGAAATTATCATTCATTCACTATTATTACCGAAACACATAGGTATATTGCCACTCTTTAGTAAGAACAAGATTTAGGCTTGATCATGAAGGTGGCGTTCTTGAGTGTGGTTCTGTCAGTGTACCACGTGTTCCAGGTAATCCCTTTTGTACTCTTCTGTTTCTCCAGTAACAGGCTGGTGGGGCTCACATCATGACAATTGGTGTACCAAAACCCTCCATGGTAGTCTACTGCGCAGTTGACAGTTCCTGTAAGCATATCACACATCATATCCTGATTTATTAATACCGGTAATATCTCTCTTTCTCTCTCATATATATATATATATATATATATATATATATATATATATATATATATATATATATATATATATATATATATATATATATATATATATATATATATATATATATATATATATAGATATTAGACTGGCTACCGCCGGACGATTTTAATCAGCAGATAGAGACCCCCAAGAACCCAAGAATTTAAAAACTAGTTGAGTCACTCGGCCATTCAAACCTCCCTAACAAATTTTATCTACCTTCAACACTGTGGAAATATATACAGGACACACACACACACACACACACACACACACACACTGCTATTATAGATAACAAGTATTTTAGAGAACGATGGTGACTGTAATTAATGGTTTATGAATATACTGAGACCATCGATAACGTGTATTTTAGTGAAGAAAATCTGTGATGTTAGAACTGACTGTCTCTATAGGTATGACTAGGGAACCTATTGCGAAATGTGGTGCGTCAGGTTAGGTTAGGTATAACACTCACCATATTTATCGTTATCTCTGTCGGAGGTGGTGAATGGCATGTTGTCATGGTGACTGAAGGCATCCCCGGCGTCACCTGAGTACTGGCCCAGGTGGAGGCGGAACTGACTGTCCTCGTCATCAACCAGAAACGTTTGATATCTGGCTGAACGACTCTCACCGTCCCAGTCACCCAGATCCACCTTCAGCACCTGCGACCACCTGTACGTCAGGTCATGGAGCGCAGCGTTACCTGTCAACACACACACACACACACCAGCGTTACTCCAACACACACCCTAGAAGGAACTATCACAGATATAAATGTGTTATAGTGACGTATTGGGTATAGGACCCAGTCACTCAGCAGTGTGTTGTAGTGACGCGTTGGGTGTAGGAACCAGCCACTCAACAGTGTGTTGTAGTGACGCGTTGGGTGTAGGAACCAGCCACTCAACAGTGTGTTGTAGTGACGTGTTGGCTGTAGGAACTATCCCCTCGGCAGTGTGTTGTAGTGACGTGTTGGGTGTAGGAACCAGCCACTCAACAGTGTGTTGTAGTGACGTGTTGGGTGAAGGAACCATCCCCTCGGCAGTGTGTTGTAGTGACGCGTTGGGCGTAGGAACCAGCAACTCAACAGTGTGTTGTAGTGACGTGTTGGGTGTAGGGACCAGCTACTCAGCAGTGTGTTGTAGTGACGTGTTGGGTGTAGGGACTAGCCACTCTGCAGTGTGTTGTAGTGACGTGTTGGGTGTAGGAACCAGCCACTCAACAGGCAACAGCACTTACCAATCCAGTACTCTGTGTCTGGGTCACCGAAGCCTTCACGGTAGTCTCTCCAGCCTCGGTTGAAGTTGATCTGTTGGTCCAGTGGGCGGCGGGCCAGTACCACGGTCCACCCTCCTTCCTCATCTTCCAGCTCACACCACACCTGCACGCCCTCGTCCTGCCTCCTGCACCTGGGAACCAAGAACCAACTGTGGCAATGTTCAATTGTTGTAAAACTCTAAAGCAACTCCTGCACATAGTGGCAACATTCCCTCGTACGAAGGTGAATCACAGCGGAGACACAAAGGGTGACTATATTAAACAGGAAGTAGTTACTCAGTTATAAGTTTATCAATATTTTTCACTGTTTTGAAAAAAAATGAAGAAGTTATAATTTCAGCCAAAAACAAATAGTTCATATTTATAGAATAAAGAATAGTGGATTATTTGGCCATAATCTAAGCGTTCGTGGGATAATGGTAGAGACTGGGATAGATTAATAGATATCGAAGCTTTGATCACCAGAGAGATACAAAACCTGGGAGAAAACTGTTGGAGTGGAGGTCCAAGGTCGCCAACCATAATATATGAGTATGGCACTTTGATTGATATTTACTCATTAGAAAATACCTTATGGGTTACTTAGAAGTGTGTAGAGATGAGAGGAGACGAGCAGTGAAGAGTCTTAGGTGAGGTGAGGAGTAGGGTACAGAAGACCTTCATTTGGGGAGGTAAAGTGAGGGGTCTCACCTGTATGGAAAGATCTGATACACCCCGCTGCGGTTGTTGCCGGCCAGCAGCAGGTCGTGACAGTCGCGGGGCCTGCCAGGGTCACACACATCATATAGTTAATGTGCTCTGTTCACTTTTGAAAATTTCAGAAGTGAGTTACACTTATCGCCTGGGACAAACTCTTACACAGACAAGGAACTCATTGTTGTGGCGAGGTGTCAGGTCGCCATTAAATAGAAGTTTTCACCCAACATTAAGAGGGATTCTTCAGCCCTAAAGCTCACCTGTTGGTGGGAGTGTTGCAGCTGTTGTCCCCGGTGATTGGTAGCTGTGGCTGCAGTGGCTGTGAGGGAGACTGTTGTGTCTGTGAAGCTGTGTTGTCACCTGTAGAGAAGGAGGGGTGCCGTGTTGCCAGCTGCCTCACCTCCTGCTGCAGCTGTAGTAGAGGTAACAGGACGGTGTTGATGGCGGCGCTCCACTGCTCGCCGGAGGTAGCAGTGTCTCGCCCACCCACACCCCTCATCTGTTGACTCACCTGCTCTAGTACTCTGCTGTGCCTCACCTGTTCGGTTTCTAGCAGGAGCAACAGAATTTGCATGGATATGTCACGGCGGAGAACACCCCCAGCACTCCCTGACACTTCCATGCTGGCCTGGTTCTCTTGAATCGGTGTCAACAACGACTTGACATCCTGAACATGGTGGAGAGTATTATTGGTGACCGCCAGGAGCTGCTGTACCACCTCAGGACTAAGATGATTTACCACACTCTCGTTCTCCTCCATGAGGGGCGTCCCGTGTGAAGGACCGAGTCTCAGCACCAGCAGTACCACCACCAACACGCCTCTTAGGACCATCTTGCTCAATAATATGACGACTCCCAGCCTCTGCCTTCACTTATATCCTCCACACCTCACAGTCGCCACAAACTGCACTACAGGAACATGTCTGCTCTGCAAGGTTATTCAATTCGTTCGTTCATTGTGGGATTTCTCTCAAATGTTGAAATATAAAGATGTAAAATATGCTTTATAGTCACTCACTGTCTATGGGTAAACAAATGAACAGTGAGAGAGAGAGAGAGAGAGAGAGAGAGAGAGAGAGAGAGAGAGAGAATATTGGACACGTTGTCTGCCACGAACAAATTAGAACCAATAGACGAAAAATAAAACAAGTTATTTTTGGTTTGTTTTCGTAATCGGGAAGTTATGAGCTGAGTTGACGTGTGTTTGTGCACGTGTGTAGTTCAAGAGGCATGGAGAGAGAGAGAGGTCAAGTGTGTAGGTCAAGAGACTTGGAGAGAGAAGTTAAGACCACGGCGTAGTTTTAGGCTGAGAGAGAGAGAAGAGCTTCTAAAAGTTAGTTAATGATACACATGACATTAATAACAGAGGAGATAACAGGTACAATCATACAAATGATCGTACAAGCACGAAATTTGGTATGAACATTCAATATGAGTTACTTATCACATCTTTGCGATTGTACATTCAAACTTCGCAGATGCCAGCCATTTTCCAAGATGGCCGCCAAATTTGCTTAATCGAAAACATTTATATTGTCACATGTTGGCCGACACTGCTGTCTATGATTGGCTAATTAGGTGATGCTCGAGAACGACTAATGTCAATGAGGGTGGTTCACGGCCTCTATGCTGATATAAATTTTCTAGTGTTTTCATTAACGATGGTTCCTTAAACCAAAAACATCTGTAATAACTTCTGCACTGCCTCTTTTCCTCCTCTCTTTCGACCTGATAACTCTATAGCCAACTTCCCCCCTGACAAAGCCAACCTCTTTGGTACCTTATTCTCCTTTAACTCCACCTTAGACTATTCCCACTCTATCCCTCCTACCCCTGCTCCTCCTACTGAACCTATGCACTTTCCTATAATCTCCACTCTTAGGGTTGCTGGTGTGTTATCCAGGTTGGCTGTGAGTAAGGGGCATGGACCGGACGGAATACCCCGTCGTGTTCTGAGGGAGTGAGCTGAAGTTCCGGCCCCTGTGCTTGCTCGCCTCCTTCGCCTTTGCATCAAAACCCAAACATTTCCTTCTTCTTGGAAGCATGCCTCGGTTCAGCCTATCCCGAACAATGGTGACCATTCTAATTCCTCTAATTATCGCCCCATTGCCCTAAATTCATCCCTCTCTAAGATTTTCGAAACTATCTTGAACTCCCATTTTCCCCGTCACCTAGATTCCATTCTCTTTTGTCGGATCACCAGTATGGCTTTCTCCAGGCGAGATTAATTGGTGATCTGCTCTCTTACTGCACCTATCTTTGGTCATCCTCTCTTAGGGATTATGGGGAAACTTCCGTTCGTGGCCCTCGACATCTCCAAAGCATTTGATAGGGTATGGCACAAGTCCTGTGACTGCTGACAATGGTGCCCAGACCCAGGATACAGATTGAGTGGAGGCATTGGAAGTGCAAGGTGAGGACTAAGTAACAATAGAGAAGGAGACTTTACGACTATTGAAGGGAACATAAACAGTGACGTGTTTTAAATCGACTAACAATGGACCTCGCAGAATTGACTCAAACTGGTCGAGACTTAGGGTATGATGGAACTGAATTGAAAGTTTTTGTGACTCGACAACAATCAATTCTAAGAGACGAAAGACAGCAAGAGAAAAAGAAAGAAGAGAGTATGTGTTAAGGAAAGCAGAACAGGAATTGGAATACGAGATCAAAATTGAAGAAAAGGAAGTAGTGGAAAGACAGAAAGAACGAGCCGAAACGGATAGAGAACGAGAAAAGGAAGCAGTGGAAAGAGAGAAGGAACGAGTCGAAAAGGAGATCCTGATCCTTGCATATTTCACTTTTATCCTTAATATATTCCATTCTTTAAGGTATCATTGTGACCTGAGTGGCAATAAGCACCCAGGGCACTGCATCTGTTCCATGAATTCGTAACCATAAAGAAACAACTGTAAGACAAAACGTAGTTAAAAAGGCAGCTTGAAATTATGGTGGTATAAATAATAAATAAACCTGCCTCTCATCCAGTCCCCCACCTCCTCTATTCCCCCCCCACACACACTACAGTGGGCGACATCTGTTGACTTACCATAGCATTTTCCCCAGCTGCTTCGAAACTTCAGACTCAAGGCTATTCGAAGCCTCACTGTGGATGGGTAGTATACACGACTTTTGTGCACGATAGTAGTGTGATCAGAAAATCTTATGTCTGTGTTCAAGTAGTGCAATGTGTGAGGGGAGGGTCCCTAATTACAGTTTTAAGTGAAGTGGATACCCACGCTCTGAACATACGGCATTTGTTTCAAGGCAGCGTCCCTTGTACCCGGCCTACAGGTGTGAGTTCTTGATATAGCCCACTTAATTTCCCCAAGAACTGTCAAGCCCGAACCGTATTCTAGTATGTAAGTTAGGATTAAAATATGGATTTAAAAGACACCAGGTCACAATAAATGGGAAAATGGAGATGTGAGAACCATAAGATATCAAAGTAAAAATTAAAGATTGGAAACTGTAGGCCTACACGGTGAGGAGCGGCAGGGCACTGCCCTCAGTATCCTTCGTTCTCCCATCACTTCAGGTCCCACGCGGTCGGAGCACCTTGCTGGGCGTCGGCCATTATCCCTGTGACCGTCCCACCTTGTCAGATGATGACTGCCAGCTATGCTATTCCACTGTGAACCTGTGGATTCCCAGCATACCACCCCAAATGAGTAGGAATAAATAAGGAAATGCTGTGAAACTCCGCGGTCGTCACTTGGAGCGACCTATAATGCCAGGTGTAGAAACAGTACTGGTATGTCTCTTGGTGAAACCTTCGTCTCTCCCCACCGAGGGCGGTGTGCGAACGAGGTGCCTGATATGTGTACTTAGAAATTACAACGAGTCCCATACTTGCAGGTGTGGAGTATAACAGGTGTGGTGAGCTGGTGCTGCAGGGAGGTGAGATGGTGCTACTATGTATGATGACCTAAGGTGCTATACAGGTGGAGCAGTCTATCGTGTGGAGTGTTATTGTAAGAAGGGTAACCAAAATCCTCGTTGTTCTTCTGAGGAAGGCCAACTCATTTGTGTTTTACCGGAATGCAGTATGTTTTATAAGGAATAAATTAGTTAAGACATGTTATGGTTTCACCCTTCCTTCCCCTTATCGATCTGGTCAATGAAAAACCTAACCCAATGCCTAGTCCACTCTGCACGCTACCTAACGAGCTTCATACTGCCCAGAGGGGGTCTGGTGGCAGCGACCTTTAAAATTAAGACGATAGTTAAGTTATCTCCTTAGACTTAGTGACCTCAGAATCTGGCAGTATAATACATTGTACAGAGTGTAGGTATACATTGTACACAGTGTAGGTATACATTGTGCTCTCTGTAGGTGTAAAATGTACACTGTAAGTATACAAAGTACCCATTGTAGGCATACAGTGTACACAGTATAGGTATACATTGTACTCAGTGTAGGTATACAGTGTACACAATGCAGGTATACAAATAATACAGCGTAAGAATACAATGTACACAATGTAGGTATACGTTTTACACAGTATTGGTATACAATGTACACAGTGTAGGTATTCATTGTACAAGGTGTAGGTATACAATGTACACAGTGTAGGTGTACATTGTACACAGTGTATGTATACATTGTGCACAGTGTAGATGTACATTATACTAAGTGTAGGTATACAATGTACACAGTATAGGTATACATTGTACACAGTATAGGTATACAATGTACAGTCACCTTGAAAAGTCTGTGTTCTCGGTAATCAGAATAAACCTGGGAATCTTATAGCTCAGTTTTGATTTACAACCCACCGATGGAGCTTCTTACACCACGAGTTAAACAACACGGCGTCTAGTACAGCTGCCGTATATTCTTTACAGGTGGCGTTGATCATGGCTGGCGACTTTTTACAGAAATCATTAATTTGAGAGTAAGATTAAATTACAGTGAAACATGTAATTATGAGACCAATACTGTAGACAATGATATTTGGTTACTATACTCCCGTACCCTGGATGTATTGACAAACGGTACAATGCAAGTTCCCACATTATGTAGGGCAGCCCAGCTAGTTCGTGGGCCACATACAGTAAGTGGCCCTCCATCATCACAGTGGGCCACATAAGAGGCCATCCATCACCTCAGTGGGCCACAAAAGTGGCCTCCATCACCTCAGTGGGCCACATAAGAGGCCATCCATCACCTCAGTGGACAGCATAAGTGGCCTCCATCACCTCAGCGGGCCTCATAAGTGGCCCTCCATTACCTCAGTGGACCACAAAAGTGGCCTACATCACCTCAGTGGACCTCATAAGTGGCCCTCCATCACCTCAGTGGGCCACATGAATCAGGTGTTTGGTAAATGGTAAGAGAAATAATTGAATTCTCCTTACAGTAATGAGACAGGTTCATTTAGTCCCATGAAGCTCCGACACTTGCTTTGAGATGTTATATGAATCAGTGTCATGAACCGTGAAGGTCAGTTTCGTTGCAGCTGTTGTCGTGTAAACAAGTACCACAGTAAAGTGTGAAAAAGTGCCACAGTGAAGTGTTACCATGTGCCACAGTAAAGTGTTAACAAGTGCAACAGTAAAGTGTTAACAAGTGCCACAGTTAAGTGCTAAAAAGTGTCACAGTAAAGTGTTAAAAAGTGCCACAGTAAAGGGTTAACATGTACCACAGTAAAGTGCTAACAAGGGCCACAGTAAAGTGTTAACAAGTGTCACAGAAAGTGTTAAAAATGCCACAGGAAAGTGTTAACATGTGCCACAGTAAAGTGCTAACAGGTGCCACAGTAAAGTGTTAACAAGTGCCACAGTAAAGTGTTAACAAGTGTCACAGTAAAGTGTTAAAAAGTGTTACAGTAAAGTGTTAACATGTGCCACAGTAAAGTGTTAACAAGTGCAACAGTAAAGTGTTAACAAGTGTCAATGTAAAGTGTTAAGTGTCATATTAATGTGTTAGCAAGTGCCACAGTAAAGTGTTAACATGTGCCTCAGTAAAGTTTTAACAAGTGCCACAGTAAAGTGTTAACAAGTGTCACAGTAAGATGTTAACAAGTGTCACAGTAAAGTGTTGGCAAGTGCCACAGTAAAGTGTTAACAAGTGCCACAATAAAATGTTAACAATTGTTATAGTAAGGTGTTAACAAGTGCCACAGTAAAGTGTTAAGTGTCACAGTAAAGTGTTAACAAGTGCCACGGTAAAGTGTCATCGTTGGTGAAGGAATATAAGATCAAGAGGTAAGTGTTGGTCAACACGGCTGTACTCTATATGATGATGTAGTTGTTGTGGGCCGGAGCTGACACAACACAACCAACTGCTGAAACTATTCTATATAACATTACCTTAAAACTCTTACCAATCACTCCGTGGCCTTACTTGCCTGAATACATAAACATATTGTTATAATTAATAGGAAATAAGTAAATTTGCTGCCACTGTGTTTACAATATGGCGTCTCGGTTCACCTGCTTTCAGTAGAAACATAAGCAAGAACTGCAGCTGTTTCCTCACAATAGTTATATACCATTAAAATATTATCTTATTTAGTATTGATACATCAAGTGAGTGTTAGACTAACTGTAACTTTTGTGACACTGTAATCCTGTCCCTCCCTTCTTATGTGAGGTAAGTGAGGAATGAAAGGACAAATAGTGTATAAGCCATTCAACACACGTGAATAGTTTGGAAGGGCACCTTGCATATTTTTAGTAGCAATTAAGAAAACCTAACGTAACCTAACGTAACGTAACGTAACCTAACCTAACCTAACCAAATACCCTCACCATAAATTTTGGTTGGGTGGGCCAGGTCAGGTTTGGTTGGTTCATAGGTTGTTATTAATATTTAACCAGAGAGTTGTCAATTAGGGGGGGGGGCATAATCTCTTGTAACACGTTTGTTGTAATACAGAGATGCTTATCTAACAGGAGAGAAAGAAAAAACTGTAGGAATGTCAACTATAAACAGTCTCCTTGAGAACTTTATGATCCTGTCATCAAAACTCCCCCAGGAAGGCTGCAGGTCTAAACCACTAACGATGACACACAACATGAACCAACTAAACCAAACTTAATCTTACATAATATTATCCAGTAATTTGGTAAGGTTTTGTTGCTTTCTGTCGCCAATCGTCGTAGCCCCACAAACTGTTACCGTTTCATAAGAACTGTAGGTTCATAGTCAATATTTAATTCTCTCCCACTTAACATTTAAACCTTAGAACAAATTCGTCCTCGAGTTCCTGCCAATATATAATCCGGTATAAATGGCGACCTTCTCCTGAACCTTTACCAACATTTTTATAGGAGTAAAGTGGGATGGAAGGTTAATCGGATTTGTTTTTCTTTCCAGGTGAGTGAAAGTTAACAGCACCTCGAGGGATCGTATCACACTACAACACATCACACTTCAGGTATGTCCAAGTCAGTTTTATATTATCAGTTTAAGTTTTTTTTTTATTTGTTCAGGAGTCCAACCGTTACCTCCCATGTTGAAGATCTGGATCACGTTTGCTGTCGGAAGTCACTCGTGAAATTGTCTTGATCCAGTGATTTCCTAGATGGTAACTTGCGTATATCATTGACTCAGTCAACTTCCGGAACTTTGAATTCCTTTATGCCATTATTAAATGATATTTTAAGTCATTTACCGTCTCACCGTCATCCATCCTCTCAGAGCTGGCATGTTGTCAAGTGTTTCTTGTGATTACCAAAGATCGGGTCCAGAGTGTATCACTATATGCAGGTCATTTTTCACTGTACTTTTCGCAATACGGGACTGAATCTGGATCCTGTTAGCTGTTGGTGATCCTTCCCGGAACGAGGAGGACGTCTCTTAGTTGTCTGGTTCTTCCTTTAAAACAACTCCAGTTTGTTATGGTTTTCCTCTCTCATGCGAGCTCCGGTAGTTATTAGAAGGAAACACAATATTCCTTCTTGAATGTCGTCGTATTTTGCTTTACAAATACAATATATCATGATAAAATGTGGTGCTCCCTGGCAGGCAGGAAGTGCTCCCCAACCTTGTCTTGTTCACCATATACTGTAGGCTCTTCAGTTTTCGCCAATAGTAGATAAACTTGCTGGTGGAACATTTATGTTTTGGGATAGGTCCCTGGTTCACCCGTGGGGCACCTTAGTTCACCCAACTTTAATGAGTACCTTACGTGACTAACACGAAGAAACATTTTAAATGCGGTTTAAAAAATATTCATAAATAGTCTAAAATAACTTAATAATTTGTAACAACCATTTGCACATGAGGGCGTAAGAGACCCGCGATTGTCAGCCGTGGAGTGTGGACTACTGTAGACCTGGTATGGTGATGCTCTGAGACACAGTATATGTTGGCTGTTTGATGATGTATTAACGTAGACGAACGAATGATTTAGACTGACAAGAATAATGACGAATAAGAGAAGATTTGTATATCTGATATAATAGTTAGAACAACAATAGCAGGTTAGATTGATTTTTGGCGCGTTAGATTATAATCTAAGCGACTTAATAACTCCAGCTGTTTACCTTCCTGGTCTTGTAAACACTTTCTTTCTTAGAAAGTGCATCTGTTAAGTTGCCATTTTGGTATTGTCATCGTAGGTGTTATTAATTGTGGGCAAGTTGGAACCTAATTGATTTGTATAAACATCTCAAGGGCCACTACTCAGTCGAGTGTCCTTATAATTATAATTGTATTTATAATTTGCCCCGCGAGGGCTACTGTATTGGGCACCTCCTTGCATACTGTGCAAGGTGAGGCGCAAAAGCGTTTACAGCGCCCTACAGGGAAGCATACGTAATTCATGCTTGCCTTCATGAGTAATACATTAAGGGCGTAAATTCCTGAAGGGTCGTGGGTTTTGTCGGCAAGTTACATAAAGTGACAATACTGAGAACGTGTGTGGGGGGGGGGAATTCCCGGTACAATTCATCTGTTAATGGAAAAGCGTAGCAGGTCCCTAATAATGTCAAGTGCCAGGCTTGTCTCTAGGAGGAGGGATATCTGGTCAGGGAGGGACAAGGTGTTGGTAACGGCTGGGGACCTGTAGGATGAGGTCATATGGCAAGTGAGGATGTTGTGAGATAGGGTGTGAGAGTCGGGTTGACCACAAAGTTTACAAATAGTGTGGCCAGGCTCAGGGTTGCCAAAATATTCCCATAGGTGCAGTCTCATGTACAAAATCTGTTGGGATCGAGTCGGAGATTGATACTCTTTGAAGTGGCGGTTGTTGTCAGCGGTTACGGCGTCTTAGTGGCGTAGTGTGGCGCTACTCCGTTGTTTTCAGCCGCATCCAGCCCATACGAGCACACACTGATTGTTATAAGAACAACCCAGTACCAACCATTGTATAAATTATCAATACCGTGTATTCACTACCAGCCAATCTTACTTTTTGCACTGTCACTATGTTGAAATGCCCTGTAGTTTGAGCTTCTCCCCACCTAGTTATTGTACATCATATTTGTATCACTTATGTTACTTGTATATTATTTGTAAATCAAGAGACCCATTCCCAAATTATGTAACTGTATATTTTAAGCATTCCAGTTGCCATGCTCTTTCAATAAACCGTTAGGTTAGGTTAGGTAATTTGGTTAAGTTAATTAAGGCTCGCATCAGGGTGGTTAATCTTCAGGTGACATAAGCTCGAGGGACACTACCCATTAAACCTTTAAATGAGGATTTTCCTAATAGGGATCATCATCTTTTGTGTGTATTGTTATTACTGGGTTTAAATTGGTTCACATCTGGTAACATTTGTTTTGTGTCATATAAGACGGCGTTTACTGTCTTAACATAACCAAACTTACACTAAATTAGGTTAGGTTAATAAAGATGCTATTAACATTTATAGTCTGTGATTATTGTTATTATACATTACCATTATACATTATATTTACTACATTATACATTACAATTATACATGGTCAGGTATATAAACACGAGTCTGAATTTCCCTACATAATATGGATTGAAATTATCCTTCAGTGTATAAAAACCGTTTTATAACATTTTATGTATAACTTTGTACATGAATCTTGTTGTAGCTTTATGTATCATTTAAGAGAGATAATCTTTCTCTCTCTCCAATATAGCTTTATTTCATCATCTTTAATTATATAATTCTTTCAGTTGGGAATTCAAATGGATTATACCCTAAGCGGCAAATACTACTACTACTTTTTTAATGGCCTCCAGCCTCCCCCAATAGCCATACCTTCGCCACCATTTTATTACCTTAATATTAAATATCCTAAAACATAAGTAACTATCCTAGCTGTCTTGAATTAGTTGAGCCGCAGATCTATGCAGCAGTCAGTGACTGTTGCCTCAAAGTCGATATCTGCGGCTATTGTAGGCTTTGGGGCCGATGCTCTCGTTTCCCTGAGGCAAAGCAATTCAGACCTAAGCAGAGAGAAAGACGATCGACATCTCAACCAGGCTGTAACGTAACTTCTGAGCTGCTGTTTCCGTTCCTGTAACTCCTCCGCGAGTCTGGTGTAGAAGCATCTTGCACTTGGTCCCATCCCACCAGAGGTGGTGAACACCAGAGGAGTGAAGCTGCCTTGATGAACGTTCTGAATTCTCTCCCCATGTGCCCTAATCTTGTCGTTCTCGTTCCTCCTTTGTGCAGAATCGAGACCTAGGTTGCGGTGACATGCGGCTATGGGATAAAAAATCCTTATGTCAAAAAAGGCTCGCTGTCTCCGCGTCAAGAATCCTCGACCAATGACGTCCATTACTACTATTACTACTAATGCTAATACAACAAATAGTAATAATAATAACATGCATAAATTATTATTATTTCACTATTGTTACCGAAACACGTAGGTATATTGCCACTCTTTAGTAAGAACAAGATTTAGGCTTGATCATGAAGGTGGCGTTCTTGAGTGTGGCTCTGTCAGGGTACCACGTGTTCCAGTTAATCCCTTTTGTACTCTTCTGTTTCTCCAGTAACAGGCTGGTGGGGCTCACATGATGACAACTATTGTACCAAAACCCTCCATGGTAGTCTACTGCGCAGTTGCTCGTTCCTGTAAGCATATCGTATCCTGATTTATTAATTCCATCAATATTGAAACTATATATATATATATATATATATATATATATATATGCAAGTAAATCACTGTAGGTGCGCGTGATCCAGGTATATGCTGATAACCACCAGGAAAAAGAAAACACGAAGTTCCCAAGCGCTTTCGTGTAATTCACATCTTCAGGGGTGAGTACGGACTAAGGAGACATACATAACAAGGCAATTATATATACAGTAGAGGAAGGTGAGATCAAGTCCACAATAGTCATGTTATTAGATAGTGACCTCTACTGTATATATATTTGCCTTGTTATGTATGTCTCCTTAGTCCGTACTCACCCCTGAAGATGTGAATTACACGAAAGCGCTTGGGAACTTCGTGTTTTCTTTTTCCTGGTGGTTATCAGCAGGAAAGTTACGTTACTTTATTATAGTTTAGTTTAGTTTAGGTTAGGTTAGGTATAACACTCACCAGATTTATCGTTATCTCTGTCGTAGGTGGTGAAGGGCATGTTGTCATGGTAACTGAAGGCATCCCCGGCGTCACCTGCGTACTGGCCCAGGTGGAGGCTGAACTGCCTGTCCTCGTCATCAACCAGAAACGTTTCATATCTGGCTGAACGACTCTCACCGTCCCAGTCACCCAGATCCACCTTCAGCACCTGCGGCCACCTGTACGTCAGGTCATGGAGCGCAGCGTTACCTGTTAACACACACACACACACACACACACACCAGTGTTACTCCAACACAGACCCTAGAAGGAACTATGACACATATAAATGTGTTATAGTGACGTGTTGGGTGTAGGACCCAGCCACTCAGCAGTGTGTTATAGTGACGTGTTGGGTGTAGGACCCAGCCACTCAGCAGTGTGTTATAGTGACGTGTTGGGTGTAGGACCCAGTCACTCAGCAGCGTGTTGCAGTGAGGAGTTGGGTGTAGGGACTAGCCACTCAGCAGTGTGTTATAGTGACGTGTTCAGCAGTGTGTCGTAGTGACGTTTTTGGGTGTAGGGACCAGCCACGGCAGTCGTACTGTTGTAGGGACCAGCTCCTTAGCATTGTGTTATAGTGACGTGTTGGGTGTAGGGACCAGCCACTCAGCGGTGTGTTATAGTGACGTGTTGGGTGTAGGGCCAGCCACTCAACAGAGTGTTGTAGTGACGTGTTGGCTGTAGGGACTAGCCACTCAACAGTGTGTTATTGTTACGTGTTGCGTGTAGGGACCAGCAACTCAACAGTGTGTTATAGTGACGTGTTGGGTGTAGGGACCAGAGACTCAGCAGTGTGTTGTAATGACGTGTTGGGTGTTGGGACCAGCCACTCAGCAGTGTGTTGTAGTGGCGTGTTGGGTGTTGGGACCAGCCACTCAACAATGTGTTGTAGTGACGTGTTGGGTGTAGGGACCAGCTAATTAGCATTGTGTTATAGTGACGTGTTGGGTGTAGGGACCAGCCACTCAGCGGTGTGTTATCGTGACGTGTTGGGTGTAGGGCCAGCCACTCAACAGAGTGTTGTAGTGACGTGTTGTGTGTATGGACCAGCCACTCAATAGGCAACAGCACTTACCAATCCAGTACTCTGTGTCTGGGTCACCGAAGCCTTCACGGTAGTCTCTCCAGCCTCGGTTGAAGTTGACCTCTTGGTCCAGTGGGCGGCGGGCCAGCACCACGGTCCACCCTCCTTCCTCACCTTCCAGCTCACACCACACCTGCACGCCCTCCTCCTGCCTCCCGCACCTGGGAGCCAAGAACCAACTGTGGCAATGTTCAATTGTTGTAAAACTCTAAAGCAACTCCTACACATAGTGCGACCATTCACTCGTTTTGAGGTGAATCACAGCGGAGACGCAAGGGGTGACTATATTAATCAGGAAGTAGTTACTCAATTATAAGTTTATCAATATTTTTCACTGTTTTGAAGAAAAAAATGAATAAGTTATAATGTCAGCCAAAAACAAATAGTTCATATTTATAGAATAAAGAATATTGGATTATTTGGCCATAATCTAAGCGTTCGTGGGATAATGGTAGAGACTGGGATAGATTAATGGTTATCGAAGCTTTGATCACCAGAGAGATACAACTCCTGGGAGAAAACTGTTGGAATTGACGTCCAAGGTCACCAACCCTAATATATGAGTACGGCACTTTGATTGATATTTAATGAGTAGAAAATACCTTATGGGTTTACTTAGAAGTGTGTAGAGATGAGAGGAGACGAGCAGTGAAGAGTCTGAGGTGAGGTGAGGAGTAGGGTACAGAAGACCTTCATTTGGGGAGGTAAAGTGAGGGGTCTCACCTGTATGGAAAGATCTGATACACGCCGCTGCGGGTGTTGCCGGCCAGCAGCAGGTCGTAACAGTCGCGGGGCCTGCCAGGGACACACACATCATATAGTTAATGTGCTCTGTTCACTTATGAAAATTTCAGAAGTGAGTTACACTTATTGCCTGGGACAAACTCTTACACAGACAAGGAACTCATTATTGTGGCGAGGTGTCAGGTCGCCATTAAGTAGAAGTTTTCACCCAACATTAAGAGGGATTCTTCAGCCCTGAAGCTCACCTGTTGGTGGGAGTGTTGCAACTGTTGTCCCCGGTGATTGGTAGCTGTGGTTGCGAGGGCGTCTGTTGTGGCTGTGAAGCTGTGTTGTCACCTGTAGAGAAGGATGGTTGCCGTGTCGCCAGCTGCCTCACCTCCTGCTGCAGCTGTAGTAGAGGTAACAGGACGGTGTTGATGGCGGCGCTGCACTGCTCGCCGGAGGTAGCAGTGTCTCGCCCACCCACATCCCTCATCTGTTGACTCACCTGCTCTAGTACTCTGCTGTGCCTCACCTGTTTGGTTTCTAGCAGGAGCAGCAGAAGTTGCATGGATATGTCACGGCGGAGAACACCCGCAGCACTCCCTGACACGTCCACACTGGCTTGGTTCTCTTGAATCGGTGTCAACAACGACTTGACATCCTGAACATGGTGGAGAGTATTATTGGTGACCGCCAGGAGCTGCTGTACCACCTCAGGACTAAGATGATTTACCACACTCTCGTTCTCCTCCATGAGGGGCGTTCCGTGTGAAGGACCGAGTCTCAGCACCAGCAGTACCACCACCAACACGCCTCTTAGGACCATCTTGCTCAATAATGTGACGACTCCCGGGCTCTGCCTTCTCTTATATCCTCCACACCTCACAGTCGGCACAAACTGCACCTCAGGAAGATGTTGGCTCTGCTAAGGAGCACAATTCGTTCGTTCAGTGTGTGGTTTCTCCCAAATGTTTAAATATAAATGTGTAGAATATGCTTTACAGTCACTCACTGTCTATGGGCAAACAAATAAACAGTGAGAGACAGAGAGAGAGCCTGAGAGATAAAGAGAAACACACACTATTGGACGCGTTGTTTGCCACGAACAAATAAGAACCAACAGACGAAAAATAAAACACAAGTTATTTTTGGTTTGTTTTTGTAATCGGAAAGTTATGAGCTGAGTTGACGTGTGTTTGTGCACGTGTGTAGTTCAAGAGGCATGGAGAGAGAGAGAGGTCAAGTGTGTAGGTCAAGAGACTTGGAGAGAGAAGTTAAGACCACGGCGTAGTTTTAGGCTGAGAGAGAGAGAAGAGCTTCTAAAAGTTAGTTAATGATACACATGACATTAATAACAGAGGAGATAACAGGTACAATCATACAAATGATCGTACAAGTATGAAATTTTGTATGAACATTCGAGTTACTTATCACATCTTTGCGATTGTACATTCAAACTTCCCAGATGTCGCCTATTTTCCAAGATGGCCGCCAAATTTGCCTAACCAAAGACATTTGTACTGTCACATGTCTGCCCACACTGCTGTCTATGATTGGCTAATTAGGTGATACCCGAGAATGAGCAATGTCAATGAGGATGATTCACGGCTTTATGCTTATATAAATTATCTAGTGTTTTGATTTACGATGTTACTTTATATCAGTGTTATTTAGTTTGGGTTGTTAAAACATTATGTAAGAGCCATATTTTGTTTTATAGGGTATAAGATGTAAGACTTTCGATGTATTGTATTAAGATTAGTTGGCAACTGAGCCATATTTGTGTGTTGGTGGTGATGGTCACGGCAGAGCAGCGTGAGCCATCGACTAAGCTG